TAAATTTTTAAACAGTAAATTTTTAAGACAATTTAAAGTACGAAATATCACATAATGCAGTATGATGAATAATGTCGCTCTCGTTTAAATTTTTAGTACAGTACAATGACGGTACTTTAGGCTCGACCACCGAAGACTGGATGGGCGCCAGGGTCACTTTTCGAGACCCCATCTGAATATTATCGACTCAAACGACGAACACGGGAAATTTCTCCGGCCGATGTTACAATGTCGCGACAAGATGAGGCGATCTCCAAGAGAAAGTGAGTTTTCAGTGGAACTTCTTATGCTTTCTGTTTCGCATAGAGACTAACCTTATATAAAAATAGTACATATTAAATATGCTGAAAGGCAGATATTCGCTATCTGCTAAATCAATCAGCCTTACTTCAGTGGATGATCATTTACAGGAGTATATGTAACGATTTTTCGACCCCATGTCGCTTGAAAGGTCAGTCGGTCGCAACACCCTTTCCTGCATTTAGCACTTTGATGGTTGAAAATACTGGTTCTTCGCAATTTCTGTATTTCATTTATTTGTATTGTCTGTTAATGCAATTTTTGCCTGCGTGTGCCATCAATATATCATCATCATTTTTACCGCATAAAATTCAAAATATTGCTGTATGTCAGACTATTACAAACAGCTCGCAACTCCTCAAAGTATTTTATGGCTTATTGTACCACCCTGTTGTCCACGGGGATATTTATCCTTCAATTTGCCTATCAGTGGATGGTTCTCCGCCAGTGAAACGCGATGCCGTTGTGAGGCTGTGATGATTTTCATTTTATTTTGTGATTCTATCATGAAGACCGTGTCGCTAAGTCCGCGCAGAGTTATTTGACTGGGAGTCTCTAATGAGAGTCTATAATGATTTGCTGATATACTGACCGAGTTAATCACTAAATTGATTTTATACAATTGCAGGTCACCATTTGCACCAATAACCTGATTTAATCCCCATGTTGTACGTCGTTCGTAGTTCATCTATTGAAAAACTAATATCCGTTGTCTGTTGCTCTACAGACGAGTCTTCTTGCGGTTGCTCTGAGTTAAGGACTTCTCCAAAGTGCCCTCTTTATCGCTGACGTATGCCTTCGTTCCTGGTAAGAAGGCGTCTTAGACTGCCATTATTTCTCCCTCAGAGACGGGGGATGGTGTGTCTGTCTGAAATCGTCGGATAACTTTGAAATAGATGACGAAAGTTCCATATTGTCTTCACAGAGCAATCTCGAGCGATGTATAACGCGAGGGATTAGTTTAAGTGATCGATACTTATGACAACCCATAAACTCTGACTCCCACTCAAGTGGTTGCCCGTTGACTGGGCTATCACGCGCAATCTCCACGATGGCATCATAAAACAAAATGAAACTCAGCGACATAACAGTTCGTCAATGGCCCGCATTGCAGACAGCTTCCCGTTGAAGAGTGACTCAAGTATTTGAAATAGATGGCCATATGAGTATGACACAAATTCAAACTAGCAACCGCTGAACTCCTCGTTGACATGCTCATGATGATCAGACAGTCATAACATAATAAGAAATTCATGGTACGGACAATTGCAAAAAGAAATTCGTTTGTTTTACAACGTCAGAGTAATTAACTCGGAGAGAGCTACCCTCTGAATTGCTGAATTGCGCAAATGATGCTGGTGACCACTGTCCAGTCATGCACATTCAATGCGTCGACTGAGCGCTGACAATGATCAGCTGTTTGGGCCAAAGTAGCTGCGTCGAAACGTTATAGGCATAAGTTTGGAAATGCTGCGAATACAGAGAACATCATAACCGAGAGATGTTCTCTTTATGCAAATGGCACAAGGTGATGGTCTCAAGAACGACAAAATTTTAAACTACTGATTTATACTGTGTATAAGAAGATTAGACAAGGAACATGCCTTTAGCAGTGTTACCTTGTTTACGATAAACTTTTGTTTCATAGGGAACTGACAGTTTGAATTGCCAAAACATCAGCGAGAAGAGATTCCAATAATTTCCTGTTTATGCAGTGGACGCAATGTTCTGCGAAGTGGAAGATATTGAGGAAACTAGAGATTTTAGGATAAATGTTTTCTGGATAAAACAACACATTGTTTTCGGCTGATCCGAAGAAATACATTAGCATTGATTTTTGATTAAATTCACAGTTTAGTTCTTTCAAATTTAATTTAGAAATAATTTTTAGCGTTCGTTAAATTTCACTTCAATTCATGTTTGAGTTTTCTATTCAATTAACTACTGTCTGAAAATCAGATTTATATAATTTAAATACTTATTAGTAAAATTTTTTGGACTGCGATAGATAAGCAGGCATAAATAACTTATCACAAATTTCACATGCATTTTTATCATTTGCTAAAGCATGAAAAAATAGCGTGAAACACGGTAGAGAAGGCTTTCTGGATCTGAAACTATCGGCCACTGCGGAGGACCAACCACATTCTCCATGCTTCTCCAGCAATCTACCTCAAAGAAGCCCTGTGAGATCCGGGCCGACAAGACTGGTATTGGTCATCAGCGGACTGACCACAGTATCTTTAGTGTTGTGTATGAGTAAACCGTGTTTGACGCTATTTTTTCAGTATTAAAACCAGCGCAGGTACAAATTACTCAACGTTGTTGAAACACTGGTCATATGATATTTTGCCATTTTATAGCGCCGTTTTCAATGAGCTGATGGCAAGTGAAGAGAAATTCGTTTCAGAACTGCATCACATCATTGAAACGTATGTCAGATGCTTAGATGAGCCGTCGACTCCAATCGAAGTCAGGAAATACAGAGATCAACTGGCCTTAAACTTGGATGAATTGTACAACTTTCATGCCAAGTGCGCTGTCTGAAAAAGTTAGATGATTACCGGCACACTAGTCTTGTAAAATCTT